AATACCCTGACCGTATGTGAATTAGCGGGACTTTCAGCCCCGCTAATACCCAACGGATCAGGATATTATTATTACAAGTTTGTATGGCCTTAATAGAGAACTTTATCAGGGATAAAATGTGTTATTTTATGAATAAACTATATGCTTACTAGTAATTTAAAATGAAAAAATGAGACATTGATGATAAAATGTTGTGCACATTAATTTACGAAACGGATGTGCATAATAATAAACAGACTCATAAAATCAGAATTTCTAATTTACATAGTGATAATTGACATGATAAGTATACACGCATCACGGTGAATTTATGAAATTAGAGTATTTTGACTAACTGTGAAGTGCGTCATTTACTATTTGCTTTTTGACATTTCTTATTGTAACTTAATATAGATAACGTCTAACCCATCTTTTTACGGGAAAATGGGTTAGACGTTATCTATATGAATTTACAATAAGAAATGTCGAAAAACAAATAGTGAATGACGCACTTCATAGTTAGTCAGATACTCTAATTTCATAAATTCGCCACAATGGTTTGAGATTCAGTGTGGTCAGAAATTTCATGTAATTAAACTATGATCAGCTCACGTGAGTTGAATCAAATACATTCGTAATTAAAGAAATTTCACGATTTTTTTTATAAATAAAACATGTCCTCGATAAAAAATTTTTGGGAACTGTACAGAACTGCTAGAGCGTACTGTACATACGTGCACTATAAAAACGGTTCAGTGTGCGATTTCCTTTTGGATAAAATGGTGGCTCACGATGTAATGCGTAATAGAAAATGTCCAAAAAAAAAAGGGTGTTAAATAAGCACATATAATTTGTATTTCTGTAATTGCAAAAAATATTTAAATTATTGTAAGTTTATTTAAATTATTGTTGACATTAATCTTAGATTATTATCTTGACTGAGTTAAAGCTAAAACAAATAAAAAGTATCTATTATCAGTACAAAATTTACACATATAAATATAACTACAAAAAAGTAGGTTTATTGTCAAAATCATTCAACAAATTCTAACAATTATAAATTTTTGTGTTTATATATAATAAAACAAATGGTATCCAAAGATTGTGTAAATTTATGGTGTTTTTGATTGCATAGCCTGTTTTGGTGGACGCCTGTATCAAATAATTGTTTAATACTATGAATAGCTTTTTGTTCATCTGAATTCCACAAATCATCTATATGATAAATTTTGTGAACACCCATATAAATGGCTATTGCAATCCAAATTTTTAACTCTTTTAAAGTCAACAAATGCCAAATACGACTACCTTTTTTTAATCTATTAACTCAATTTAACTTTTCATAATTATTAGTATTATTAACAATTAATTGATAATAATAATTAGTAAAAAATAGATGAAACAATGTAAGTGGACTAATAGTGCCTTGCTATATTTCATATGGCAATGTAGCATAACTTCTATGAAGCTCATTAACATTTTCCATTTGATCAAATCCTGGTAATTCTGGAAGTGTTGGTATTTTATTTAACTTACTATTCTTTCTTTTATTTGTTTTTTCACTCATTTTTTTTTTCCCTTCCCACTCACCCTATGTTTTTTATTTCATTTGTAAGTAGATTTTGCACTTTCTTCATATTCAGAATCTGTGGCATAATCTGTCATAACTAAATCTTCAGAATCTGTGACATAATCTGTGATATAATCTTGTTCTTCGGTCATAAATAAATCTTCATAATCTATTGTATAATTAATTCTTGTCTCTCTATGATTATTATGCTCAAAGGTAAAATATTGCAAATCAGAAGAAAAATCATCAGCAGAATCATCGTATTCATATTAGAAGTGTCATTATTAGTACTACTATCACTATCGGCCATAGTATAAGCAGTTTTTTTTTTTTTTAAAAAAAAAAAATGTGAAAATTAAAAGCATAGATCTTTTACATTAAAGAACATTTTAGAAGTTTATTGAATCTTATTATTTTTTATTTGCAGCAAAAATACATAAATATTGGTGTAGCAGTTATGTTTGTATGCATTGTGTTACAAACATGGGGTACATTTAGTAAATTTTAATGGTAGCATGAGATATCTGCTAGGAATCTGAAAATCAGGCCAAATTTGCCCCAAATATGGATTAAGGGATACAGATTCCAAATCGAGTAAAATAAAAATAAGTCTATGCTAATGTGATACATATAATAAGGCCTTTGCTATACATTATACATTTAAAATTATTATAAACTTAATTGAATCCAATTAATGATAAAATAATTGCAATTAATTACAATTAAATTCAATTTTTCTTTCACTAGTGTAACCTGATCTTTTAAACAGTAAAAAATCAAAAATCATACCATAATGAATATACGATATTATCTAATTCACATAAAATTGCAATAATTGACCAATTGTGATTGTGTCACTAATCAATTAATTGTACTTGAAAAATTGCAATTAATTGCCTCTTCAATTAATTATTCGGTAGGCCTGCATATAATACATAAATCGATAATACAGGGTGGAACAAATATCACAAATTTAAAAAGCATAAGTAGTTTTTATATTTAAAACAATGACTAGACGAGGAAACTTAACATATCATATAATATAGAATAAGGTAACTGCACAATGCAATTGCACAAAACAAGGAACGGATTTCTGAAAGATTAATTATAACAGCTTGTTACTAGATGTTAAACGCATTATTTAATGATAGGCAAGATTAAACTATTTTATAATATAAAATCTATTGTAGTGATGGTGATATGTAGATTTCTTCAATATTACACATGATAGAGATTAAAGTAAACCAGCAGTGATGAATAAAGATGACAGTCATATGAGTTTTAAACAACTTTCAAGCGTGGCATGAAATTAAAGCTAGAATGAAAAAGGAAACCGCTCTTTAGGGCTAGCATTTAATATTTGTATTAAAATGGTTTGTATTACATATTAAAATTTATTATGTATCTCAATATGGTGTATTATTCAAATTAGACGATGATAATTAAATGTATAGTTATGCATCTAAATTAGAAGAAACAAATAGTTAAAAGCTAGTTAAACCAGAAATAAACGAAAGGTTATAAAGTGTATATTTTTTCTTTAAAAGTTATCTCTATGAAACCCGGTGATTCTAACTAACCAATCAGAATCGACGTTTTAGCCCTAATAAAAAAATCCAAAAACTATTTAACCCGTTTTTTTTAACCCTACCTGTAATTGAAAATAATTTATCCTGATAACCCACGTAAATTAATAATACTCGGGTAGGGGTTTTCTCAATGGGTTCAATCTCTAGTATTCTAACGGCTCTTTATGGTTGGTGTTAGGATGATCATTATAACAGCTTTTTATGATTAGTGTAAGGGTGAGAAAGTTCGTATTATAAAAGTTCTATATATATGGTTAGTGTTAGGATGTGAAAGTTTATTATAAAATCATTTTAACAGCTAGTTTTAGCTCTACAATTTGTGTTAGGGTGATAAATGCTCGTATTACCGTTACGTATAAAGGCTTTTTATGGGTGTGAGAATTCGTATTAATACGTAGCTCTTTATGATCCCGATCATACAAAATGTCGTGTGGAAATATGACCAATCATAAGAACGTATTTGCGCTCACCATTTCACTCCTTAGATAACCTTGCACTCCGCTCCGTTCCTAATATTATGTTTTTGATCACACATTTCGATTGCATTCTCTTATTATATCATTTAAACTCATGTACACATTGAATACTTCGATTTTATATAGAAATCTCAAGGTGAAATTATAATGGTCAGATGCGTTTAGATATAATCATATTCTTCGTTGCACTTCGTTCCTAATATTATCAGATAATCAATTTCTTCCTAAATTTTAACGACGAATATGAATTCTGCTTGTTTATTAAACTGGCAGCACTCAAATTTTTACGTGTTATTGGCTTAACTATGGGTGTTCTCAAGTAGCATATTCTATTAATTAGTTAATGATCGTAATAGTGTTCATCCGTTAGGTAAAGATTAATAGAACAAATGATCATGAAATTGACGTATTCTCAAATATCTTACTCAATGTAATAACTTGTAATTATTTTTACGTTCAAGCGTTGCAATAATTGAAATACTGATTTCGATTAATGTTGAGCAAATACTTTTATTATTACTATCTTATCGCTACCATTAGCTCTTACAAAACTGTAATAAGTATAAAATAAAAAAAAAATAGAGACAATGAAACCATAGAAATCAAAAACTCATGTATTTTTCAGACTTCTCCAACTTATACCCTATATTTAATTAATCGATAATTGATTCAATCTTTAGATTATCAATATTTAAACATGGATAAAAGTCAGATTTGTTGAATAATTTAAAGATTATTCTATTAAATGCCGAATATTTATTTAATGAAATGACAGTTTGAGTTTGACACTATTTACCGAAATGGGATACATATTTTGGTTTTGGTTATGAACCAGAACTAGGTAGAAATACCGATTCCCAAACCCAAACTAAGTAGAAACGCCGTAACTAAAAAAAAAAGTTTGGGTCGCAACCCTAGTTGGAAGCTCACTTTGGTTTGGATTGGAGCTGGTAGATTGCGTATAAAGATATTAAGTAACTTGCAACAAAAACTAAGAAAGCTTATGAATATTCTACGCAAATAGCTTATAAAGGTGCTGATAATATTCGAACTGTCGCTGATCTTACTTGTGAAAATAAATTATGGAAAAATCACAATTTACTGGACGAACCATGTGCCAAGGAATTAAAAATGGTTTATTAGCCTCCATTCCCTTTGCTTTCGCAAACTGTGTTTTCTTTTTTATAACTGCTTAAGCATTTTGGTATGGTAATATATTGCTTATGAATAATGAATAAGATCTTAAAAAAATGATTATGGTTTTCACGGTACTTGTAATGGGATCATCGTTTACCAATCGTTTCTTTGCTTATGCTCCAGATATAGTCAAAGCAAAATCTGCATCCGATTACATAATGTCATTATTAGAACGTGTTCCTAATCTTGATATATGGAATCAAAATGGTAAAAAGATTAAAACTATTGATCATCTTAAATTTTCAAATGTTTATTTCTATTATCTGACCTGGCTTAGCGTTCAGTTCTTCAAGGCTTAAGTTTAGAGATCAAACCTGGACAATATGTAGCATTAGTTGGTCCTTCAGGATGTGGTAAAAGCACCATAATAAGTCTTATCGAAAGGTTTTATCAAGTGATGAATGGTACAATTACAATTGATGAAATAGACATCGCTAAAATGAATGCAACCAATCTTCGAGAGCACATTGCTCTTGTAAGTCAAGAACCAATATGACTATAAAAGAAAATATTCTTTTGAGTTGTCTGCCTGGACAAAAGATTACTCAAAATGATCTAGAAAAAGTATGTTGGCAAACAAATATTCATGAATTTATAGTTGGACTACCTAATGGTTATGATATACGCATTGGTGGAAAAGGAATACAACTTGTCTTAAATATTGTATTATTTTTGAACTGTTTTTTTTTATGAAGAGTTCTATACGATATTACTAATTCATTTTTTTTCAGGCTGTCAAAAAGCAACAAATTGCTATTGCCAGAGCACTTATTCGAAATCCAAAAATTTTATTTACCGTATAACCACGAAATAACGCACAGGGGCGTTGGTTTGAATTTTGGCCCGAATTAAGCTTAATTTAGGCCGAAAATTGAGATTACACCCCTGCGCGTTATTTCGTGATTATACGGTAGTCATTATAGGTAATCTTATCCATTTGGCACAGAGATGTGACGAATGAGCATTTACTAATTAATTGTATTGGCTAATTATTATTTGTTACATAGAATGACTTACCATGCCCCATTAGTGTCAACAATCAGTTTAATCACAAACGTAGAGCAAGACATATAATAAAAATCATTAGTGAAGATTTTTTGAAATTGTACGATTTATAATAAATTTTTATTATAATGTATATAAAATTATAGGAATTTTATTATAGTGTATATAGAAATTAGAAGAAATTTTATAATACTTTAACAAAGGTATAAATATTTAAAAACTATGCAGTTATTACTTAATAGAGACACTCTTAAAGAATAAATATCAACTCGCAGAATTAAAAAAAATCAATATAACAAAAGTTATTAAAGTTTGCGCAAAAGCATTTTTTATTAATAATTTAATATAATTTGAAATTTTTAAAATCACTTAAAAAAAAAATCTTCAATAATGATTTTCACTATGTTGTCTTACTATATGTTTGTGATTAAACTGATTATTGACACCTGTACCAAATAAAAGGAGTTTTTATGCACAAATACAAGATTTAATTATAAAACCTTTTGTATTGTGACAAATTGTTATATGAATGCCAAATATTGTGATAATAAATATACATGTCTTTTAGCTAGTATATAATTCTTTAATATGCCTTTTCTTATTTAGATATATAAATCATATTTTGTTTTTCTAAATCTATATCTTTTCTCTCTATGTTATAGAAAGCCATTTTAAAAAAACTTAACTATTTAGACTATTGGAAGAAGTTGTACCATGAATGGGAATTGAAAAGTTGGGCTGGGTTTTTTAATAAAACAAGACCTAATAAATCACTATAAGCATGTTATATATTATTTCTTGCTAAATTAAAAATGTTAATAGAAAACTTAAAACCTGAAATGCATTAAGCAAAGAAAGCTCTTATTTTAAAACAAAACTTTGAGG